AGCATGGCGGATCCCGGCATCGACTTTCACATGTGTGTATCCCAGATATAAGGCACTTTTGAAATCATCAGCCTCAGTAAATAAATGGTTTATTTGTGAGTGAGTGGTTCTCAACTTTTTATAAGTACTGGATCCCCCTTATTTCTCAAACCATCCTTGTAGACCCCCCACTTAAAGTGTTTTTGTGTTGTCTATTTTTCTTAGATTATCTGGAGTGTCAGGTCCACTGGTATGGCCCATCAAGTTTTTTAAGCCACCTGTCCATAGGCCGATCTTGATAACAATTTTTTTTTTTTGGCGATACATTACCCCAGAAATAACTGCGAGAAATATTATTTTAATTTTATGCCACTGGCTATAATGGGCATAGCTTTATTATTAATAAATTTAATAATGGATTAATTTAAAAATTATTAATAAATTTTTCTTTATTAATAATATTTTAAACGAAAAAGTAAATATGCTTCTGCGCCAGTAGCCTGTCTGAAATACTGTCCTATCCTAATAAAGGCAAAAATGCCAAAAATAAATCTTAAAAAAAAAAACAAGTAAATATGCATGCTTAAACTTATCGATTAAAATTTTAAATTCTTATTCTCCAATGAAAGGTTAGATTTATGTGATTTTTTTTAAAATAAAAGATCAAAATGATTAACAATGCAGATTTATTTTCACAGCCTTCTTTGATCATATTTACCAAGGGTGCCAATAATTCTAACCACGACTGTAGGTGTTTGCTTTAAACACTTTTCCCCTTTCAATTCAGTCAAGAGTCTGGAATGATTGTAGCGGATGTACAAGGATGGACAGTTGTGTGGTCTACAGATGGAAACGTACCTGTCTACCATCATTTGCACATCTGTGTTCTTAATTATCTTTCAAATGGACTAAGGATAAGTGGCAGGGTCCATAATTAAAAGTGGTAAAATTTTTTAAAAAAGCAAGCCAATCCTCGCTTATGTCAGAGACATGAGAGAGTTAAAGGGATAGTTCCCTTTAACATGACAATTCAGTCATTATTTACTCACCCTCATGTTATTCCAAACTGTTCAACTAACTTTCTTCTGTGGAACATAAAATATGATACTTTGAGAGGTGTATCAGTTGTATTTGGAATTTTTCCACCTTTTTTTTTTACTTCTATGGAACTACTACTATGGTTCACAGTTCAACCAAAAATACTTTTATTTTATTTTTTTAATCCGTACAATAATGTTAATAGTGTATAATGTTTTTGGACCCCATTGACTTTCACAGCATGATCATTCTTCACCTTCAGAATGTCATCTTTTTGTATTTTACTGGTTGGAACAACATGAATGTGAGTAAATCATGGCAGATTTTTTCATTTTTATGGGAACAGTCCCTCCATATGGTGACACAATTCTTGGCATTAAGCCATCAAAATAGAAATATGAGGATGTTTTTGTGACATATATTGTACAGTTTCACTTGAAAGTTGGAGACAGACACATTTCATATATGATGCTGAGAGAAAAAAAAGGCCTGGTTGTCATGCATTTAATTGGAATGAAAATACATTCTTGATATCACATCAAGCAAAGTACAGTTTAATGTTCAGTAAGAACTATATGTGGCTGGGTTTTTTTTCACTGTTGGCAGAAAGTTAGCAGATCTTCGACAGATATGTTTCATTATTTTATTTCTGTAAAAGTGTGCACCATCAGCATGCTCTTTGTCTAGTCCTGTGCCTACTCCCAATTACCACTAAATTTCGTTGCTCTACCAATATTGTTTTCCAGCTTCCCCATGTCGTTCCTGCCTGCATTGATTTCCATAACACAGCTAATTGGTTGCTGCTGTGTGCTTCCTGTCTTTACCACATCACACACTCTTGCTGATACTGACATAATTGGTCAACTGAGCCACATTTATGAAAGTTTCATGATGCGTGAAATCTTCAGCACATATTAAAGGGTTAAGAGAGCTGTCGTGAATTGAAGGTAATAGTTTGGCTAACATATTCCCCCGTGTGCATCTAACAGCTGACAGGAAGGCAGGCAGGCATGTGAGCTATAATGATTTAGCGGTTGCATTGTAATGTGCTTCAGCCTCTCCTGGCTTTGATACACATTCAGACAGATCAGGTTGCATAATGAATATTTTACACATGCCTGCACTGCATGCATGTATGAAAGATCCTGCCGTGCACTGGGTGAAATAGTTTTTGCCTGCACCAGCACTCTGCTCTTTTATTCTCTTGGTAATACTCAACAGCTTGAAGTCGGTGTGAACACCTAATAATGCACTAGCCACGACGGTGGCATCAGCTGCAAGCTGTACAGATAAATCTCTTGTTCTTGCTCTCAATCTTATTCTTATTCTCTATCTATAGTTTCAATTTAGAGAGTTCTACTGACATAGCAAGAAGTGTACATATGCAACATAGTGCAACAGTGAGCACTCACTTTAACAGATTTGGTTCTGATATTTTCGCTATTCATTTTCTCCATAGGCATTCAAATAGATTTTTAAATAAAAACCTTCAAGCCATCCATCTCAAAGATGATTCACAATTAAAGTACTTCAAACTCAGCAAAAGACAAATGTACAATACTGAGTATTTAACGTATCTTATAGAATTGATCAAAAACTCCAGTACAGAAGAAAAGAACTGACTAGAAGTAAATTATTATAAGTATAGAATACTATGTATTGGAAGTTTATTGCAAAATATATGCACTCAGAGTGACTTAAATACACCATTTGCAATGCTTTATGGGAATGGCTGCTCACTTCTGAACTCTTTTCCTCAGATTTTGGTTTCATTGACTTTTCTGATTGATGGATCTCTCTTTAGGATTGTGAGTATTGTAATTGTTTTTTGTTTTTTTACCGAAAGTTCTGCAATTGAACTTTTCGTTGTTGTTGAAATCACATTGACTTTTACAGAAGAATGTGTTTTTACATAACAACAATGGATCTCATAGCAGTGCATTCTTGAAAGACTTTTTGAAGAAGAAGAAGGTGGTTAACTCTTAACTTTTATAAAGAATATCTCTTTGGTTTTGAGACTTTAGTGTTTGCAACTTTACAGATCTTCTTTATGCACCAAGAGCTTGTAACACTCCAAAGAGAAAGGAAAAATTGAAATCGCATCATATGACCCCTTTAATACTTTTATTCAGCAAGAATGCATTAAAATGGTCAAAAGTGACAAAAGCTTTTATATTGTTACAGAAGCTTTAAAAAATCTTGTTCTTTTGAACTTTATATTCAGCAAAGAAAACAAATGTATCAAGGTTTCCACAAATATATATATAATCTAAAATGTATTTCTTGAGCAGCAAATCAGCATATTAGACTGATTTCTGAAGACTGGAGTAATGATGCTGAAAATTCAACTTTGCATCACAGGAATAAATTACATTTTAAAACATATTCAAATACAAAACAGCCATTTTAAATTGTAAAAAGATGTCACAATATTACTGTTTTTACTATGTTTTTGCAAATAAATGCAGCCTTGGTGACTTCTTATAAAAACAAATAAAAATCTAACCAACCCCAAACTTTTAAATTGTAGTGTATGTTATTTCTAAACCTGTGGAGAAAATGAATATGATATTCACTTCAAAAGTAAAACATCTATTTCAAAGCATTTGCAGCTTAGCCATGTGCAATGAAAACAGTGCAAATAAGTTGAGCAAATATTAGTACAAAAGTTAAAGGGGCTATATGATGCAATTTAAATTTCTCCTTTCTCTTTGAAGTGTTACAAGCTCTTGGTGCATAAAGAAGATCTGTAAAGTTGCAAAGACTAAAGTCTCAAATCCAAAGAGATATTCTTTATAAAAGTTAAGAG